TTACCTGTCTTGCTTCTTCCGGAAAGCAGCAAGCACCAGCGCCTGCCGCCGCCGCGCCGCCTGCGCAGCAGCAGCAGCAGCAGCAGCAGCAGCAGCAGCAGCAGCAGACGCAGACGCACGGTGGGGCGCTGTTCGTTTGCTGCGAAGGTTTTGCTGACGCCGCTGCTGCAGCAAAGCCCAAGGACTGACAGAGCCACGCCAGCGAACGCTCAAGCACACAGCAGCAGCAGCAGCAGCAGCAGCAAAAGCAACAGCAACAGCAGCAGCAGCAGCAGCAGCAGGGTGGAGTAGGACTAAAATGTGGTGACAAAAGAAGACAGAAGAGACAAAGGAGACAAATGAACAAACCTCTCGCCATTCGCTGCCTCGGCCTTCTGCTGCATCTTCTGAGATTTGCTGCTGCTGCTGCTCCTGCTGCAGCTGGGAGTCTCCACTCCGGCTGGGGGAGACAGCAGCTGCTGCTGCTGCATCTGCTGCTGCAGCCTCTTCCGCCTGCGCCTCCTCTGCCTCCGCTGCTGCTGTTCCTGCAGCTGCCTGGCTCGCAGCAGCAGCAGCAGGACTCCCCTGGCCTGCTGCTGCTGTTGCTGCTGCTGCTGCTGCCCTCCAAGCCTTCAGCTTAGCAGCAACACGGGGATCTCTTGCTGCTGACTGCAGCACCCAATCTAGCTGCCTCCAGTGGGGCTCAAACCGCGCGCTCTTCCGCATGCCGTACAGCACCTGCAGCAGCAGCAGCAGCAGCAGCAGCAGCAGACGGTGGTTGGGCACCTAAAGAGAGGACCAGCGCCGCAACAACGCTGGAGGGGCGCGAGCAGCAGCAGCAGCGACAGGAAGCAACAGCAGCAGCGCCTGCTGCTCCTGCTGCGGCTGCTGCTGCAGCAAGTTACAGGCACCCAACGGTGCAGCAGCAAAGCAAGGCCCTAGCTAACGGACTCGCGAGCTAGACAGCTAGCCAGCTGCGCAGCTAGCTACGCAGCCAGCTAGCCAACCAACTAGCTGGCTAGCTAAGCAGCTAGCTAGCTGGACTAGCTGCCTAAATAGCTAGCTGGGCGGCCAGCTAGCCACACCGCTGGCTAGCCAAATCTCTAGGCAGCTAGCTCGCTGAAGCTTCGGGCAGCTAGCTACGGCCGCAGAGGGAAAGCTAGCTAGCTAGCTAGCTAGCCAGCTAACCAGCCAGCTAGCTAGCTAATCAGCCAGCCAGCTAGCTAATCAGCCAGCTGGCTCGCTAGCTAGAAAGCTAGCTAGCTAGCTGGCTAGCTAGCTAGCCAGCTGGCTAGCTAGCCAAGGACGCACCTGCAGCAAACTGAATTTGATGACGAAGGGGAACTCCTTGGGGGCTTTGGAGCAGCGGCGGTAGATGACCTTGTGCTGCTGCTGCTGCTGCGGAGTCTGTGCTGCTGCTGGCGCTGCTGCAGCAATAGCAGCAGCAGCAGCGCGCGTGACGAGGTCTGCGGGGTCCTCCACGCCTGCTGCTGCTGCTGCGCGGTTGGCCTGCACTGCAGCAGCAGCACCAGCAGCAACTTGCTGCAGCGACAGCAGCGGCCGCTGCACCCCCTGAGTCCCTGCTAGCATAACATGGAAAATATAAGCCCCCACAGAGTGGCTGGGGTCTCGGGCTTGGCCTCTTGCTGCTGCTGCTGCTGCTGGGGTTGCTGCTGCTGCTGCTGCTGCTGCTGGGGCTGCTGGGGTCGCTGCTGCTGCCGCCGGCTCAGCTGTTGCGGCCGCGCCAGGGGCACCTGCTGCTGCTGCGTCGGAGGCGGGGGAACCTGCTGCTGCTGCTGCTCCTGCTGCTGCCTCCTCTTCACCTGCTGCTGCAGCAGCAGCAGACGCGGCTGTGTCCGGGTCCAGCAGACGCGAGACTGCAGGCGAAGGCGCGGCGCTGCTGCTGCTGCTGTTGCTGCTGCTGTTGCTGTTGCTGCTGCTGTTGCTGTCTCTCCGCGAGAAAGAGCTCGTGCCAGACAACGAAGTCAGGTCGCTGCTTCCTCTCCTTAGAGGCTCTGCTGCTGCTGCTGCTGCTGCTGGCTCTCCGCCGTCCTCGGGGATCCTCGGAGAGCCGCTGCTGTTGCTGTCGCTGCTGCTGCTGCTGCTGATGCTGCTGGTGTCTTCAGCTGCCTCCAGGATGCGCTCCCGCAGCCTTATGACCTCAATGTCTTGGGCCCGTTGTTGCTGCTGCTGCTGCTGCTGCGTTCGCCGCCTGTTCTCCGCGTCTGCTGCCTCCCCGTGCTGCTGCTGCTGCTGCTGCTGCCGCTCCGTCGCCAGGCCCAGCAGCTGCAGCGTCCGCCGCAGAAGTCTTGCTTCGAACTCCTGGGGGCCTTGCTGTTCCAGCTCTTGGCCGCGCTGCCTCACTGCAGCAGCAGCAGCAGCAGCAGCTGCTGCTGCTGC